ATATTGAAGTTTTTCCCATCCACCTTGGTTAAAACCACCTGCCACAAGCCGCCACTGTAGTTTGGACATCAGTTTTTATACGCGATTCTTAATTTTTTATGTTTAAAAGATTTAAATTATGTAAAAAATTAATTCTGTCAAGATTTTGATGTTTTAAAGATCGGATGTTTTTAGAATGTAAATGATGTCAGAAAGTACTATTAGAGTGCTCATCCATGGGCCTCTCATTATTGAATGGGTACCCCCCAATTGGGTAACTTTCCAAAGAAGCCCAAGAGTCAAGGAATAATAATAATAATAAATTGGCGCTTACGGATATGTAAGTGTTTGGCCGAGCTTCTCCTCCGATTTGTGGCGTGCGCCTTGATGTTGTCACACAAAGCGGAGGGACCTACAATTTTACGCCGACTCCGAACGGCGATTGTATTTTTTATGAGAAGCTGTTTTTCATAGCAGAAATACACTCGGAGGTTTGCCATTGCCTGCCGAGGGACGACCGCTGTTAAGAAAAAACCTTTTTTTCTATATTTTTGCGATGTTGCTTTGACCAGGGTTTGAACCCAGGCGTTGCGGAGTGGAAGCGCGCACTNTATGTTGCTTTGACCAGGGCTTGAACCCAGGTGATGTGGAGTGTTTACCACTACACCGCAGCGGCCGAGGAATAAGGACATTAAAAAATATCGGCTGCTTGTATCCTCGGACCCTGTCATTTCAAGTTTACGTTTAAACCCACCAAAACAAAATCATAAACTGTCGTCAGATGCCATTAAATTAATATCAACTGTTGTAAATGCGGACGCGGAATTACCATCAGAAAATATAGCTACGAGCTTGGATACTTCAGATGACTGCGAGTCTGACGGTGTATAAAATTGTTATCTTAAAAATATATTCCTGTGCCAACAAATATGTATGTCTTGTTTATTGATTCATTNACAAGCTTCTCTTCCGATTTGTGGAGTGCACCTTGATGTTGGCGCTCAAAGGGGAGGGACCAACAGTTTTACGCCGAATCCGAACGGGGATGTTATTTTTATGAGAATCTGTTCTCAGCGGCTGAATACACTCGGGGGTTTGTCAAAGGGCGACTTTATTACAAACAACTAGTTTGTTTCTTATTTTTTGATGTTGGTCGGAAACTGGGCTTGAACCCAGGCTCTGCGGAATGATAGTGTATATTGCTAACCGCTTCATCACATTATATAACAAAAAAGCAGAAAACATGACCTTTTATACTTAACTAGCTTAGTTTTGCTAAAAATCTGATTATTTTAAGCGTATACAGCAGCCATTATGGATCCGCCATTTTGAATTTCGAAATTATGTGGTGAAATTTAAAACCAGCAACCAAAATAAAGACGAATACACAAGGTTTGATTACAATTGTACCACGCTTCGACTTTTGGCCAGCTTTTTCAAAAAATTGGCCACTGTGCATCCCCCAGTCATATAAATACAGCTTAGTTATACCAATTTTGAAACCCAAGAAAAACAAAACAAATATTACTTCATACCGACCAATATCACTTAATCCCTGCATAGCGAAATTACGTGACAAAATTATTGCCAAACGCCTATGGTGGTACGTAACCAGAAACAATCTCATACACCCCAATCAGTTCGGATTTAAAAGGAGGAAATCGGTTACAGACTGTCTGATCTATGCAGACCACCTGATAACGGAATCTCTCGCAAAAAGAAGCCACACTTTCCTTTTCCTCGACTTCTCGAAGGCCATTGACAGAATTGGCGTCCATACAATAATT